TTTAGCAACAACCAATGGAATTGATAGTTCTTGACAAGTTAAAAAAAGAAGGATATTTACTGACGTTAAGTAGTGTTAAAAATGAATGTGAAAGAATTCTTTGAAGATTTTTGAAAGATATTGAGATATAGTTAAAAATTATGTGTATGCAGAATTGTATGACTAATAATAAATATCATTAGTTAATAAAATTTATTTATTGTTAAAATTGTTTGTAGTGTAGAGAAAATGTTATTGGTCTATATTTTTTATATAGACAGATCCTAAAGTTTGTGGGTGAATTTCATGCAACATTCAATAAAATTCGCTAAATTAAAATAATGATACATAAAAAGAATTTTGCTAATTTATTGTTAGACACTTCCATGAAAAAATAAAATTACAGTTTGTAAAATATTTTCGGATGTAGAACAGGTGTTCCAACTCTCCGAGATTTACCCTAATGTTTAATTAAATTAAATTAAATTTATAATGAATTAAAATGGAGATTTAAACAAGAAAAAGATACAATTATTATTAGTGTTTTTTGGTGTTTATTCTAATTGCCTAACAGTGATCAGTCCAGTAGCCCTTTAACAGCTTATTCTTCTAACAGCCTGATTTTGTCTACTGGCTAATCGCCTAGGCTTTTAGCTACTTGCCTGATTTTTTTTATCGGCCTACAACATGTATATATTTAAAACCGGTTTTAATTTACAAATTCAATGATTGTTATTTAAAAAACAACGTTTTCGTCAATATTTTGAAAAGGGGAGCAGCTGGGATTTTTTGCAAAATTGCATTTGACTATTTTAGATGTGTTTTAAAAGATGCAACCATAATTTTGAGTCACCATTTTAATGACTCTTGAATTTGCTGAGAAGAGGTGTGAATAAATATGTAATTTTTCATTCACAATTAAATTGGGTTTAAAAAAAAATTACGTAAGTAAAACGATTGAAGCAACACATCCACATCTTGACTGAACTATTACCAACACTGAAACAATTATAATTATTATATTAATATGAATGTCATAACATGAACCTTAAAACACTTCTCGCAGTTTCAACGAAAAAATCTTGGGGGTACCGGGGAGCGAACACGGGTCCGCTGGGCAGGAACGAAAGAAACACACGCTTTACGCAACTCGGCCGTTCTGATCAGTGATATTAGAATAAATGCTTGACGTGTTTCACAGTACATAATAATATTATGAATTTGTGCATATTATTTTTATTATTTTCTAGTCAAATAAACATTTTAGATGCTTATTTGATTTAAAATGATTTATTTATAATTTAATTGAAACATTAGACAATTATAAAAAAACTAATTACTAATTTTTTGGGTTCCCTACCCGAAAGGGGAACACGAATTTATCTAGAGGACTGAAATTTGGTACACATATGAGAGATTCTTTTTCAATCGCCCCAGCCCAAAAAGTCAATGTTCTGGGATTGGCTTCATACTTTGGTAAATTGTTGTCCTATATGATAGTAATAAATCCCTAAAATATAAATTAATTAAAAAAATATTTGTAGAAAGTAGAGGGGGTTGAAGTTTTGACGTTAAGGGTAACATTGTCATTTTCAAATCCGTTTAACTATGACAAAAGTTAATGGATTTTAATTTATCTATAATGAATTTTATTGCATTTTTCACGTACTTTTCAAAAATGTATACAAAATTTAAAAAAAAAAAATTTTGACCCCTTTTTTTTCAAAATCAACCCTTATTTTTCGATTTTCACCCCTTCGGGAATTTTTTTTTGTTTTTTTTTTATTTTCATTGGAAAGCTGAGGTTTTTTCCCATGAGCTATGTAAATATGAAAATGGGACAACAATAATTTTGTGAGAAACATAATATTAAATTAGGCGGTGCCTATCTAAATCCTCAAAGATGATCTCCAGGTACATCCCTTATCGGCACCGCCTACTTTAATATTCTGTTACTCACAAAATTATTGTTGTCCCATTTTCATATTTACATAGCTCATCGGAAAAAACCTCAGCTTTCCAATGAAAATAAAAAAAAAAAAAAAAATACCCGAAGGGGTGAAAATCGAAAAATAAGGGTTGATTTTGACAAAAAAGGGGTTAAAAATTTTTTTTTTTAAATTTCATATACATTTTTGAAAAGTACGTGAAAAATGCAATAAAATTCATTATAGATAAATTAAAATTCATTAACTTTTGTCATAGTTATACAGATTTGAAAATGACAATGTTACCATTAACGGCACCCTTATCGGCACCGCCTACTTTAATATTCTGTTTCTCACAAAATTATTGTTGTCCCATTTTCATATTTACATAGCTCATCGGAAAAAACCTCAGCTTTCCAATGAAAATAAAAAAAAAAAAAAAAAAAATACCCGAAGGGGTGAAAATCGAAAAATAAGGGTTGATTTTGACAAAAAAGGGGTTAAAAATTTTTTTTTTTAAATTTCATATACATTTTTGAAAAGTACGTGAAAAATGCAATAAAATTCATTATAGATAAATTAAAATCCATTAACTTTTGTCATAGTTAAACGGATTTGAAAATGACAATGTTACCCTTAACGTCAAAACTTCAACCCCCTCTACTTTCTACAAATATTTTTTTAATTAATTTATATTTTAGGGATTTATTACTATCATATAGGACAACAATTTACCAAAGTATGAAGCCAATCCCAGAACATTGACTTTTTGGGCTGGGGCGATTGAAAAAGAATCTCTCATATGTAGTTTGGTGTGTAGATTACAGGAAAAATATAGCGAATCTCATAGGAATTGATTATTATAGCGTTGTCAAGGAAAAACCATGAATTTTTACGAAAAATCCCTAAAAATGACTATGTACCCCCCGCCTGGTGGACACATTTTTTCACATAGAGAGCTCAAATTTGGTACACTTATGTAGTTTTACGTGAAAATTACAGGAAAAGTATAGCGAACATGATTCGGATCAATTTATATAGCGTTGTGAAGGAAAAATCAAAAATTTTGAAAAAAAGCGTTTAATCCTCCTAGCGCACACACTATTTGACAAAGACAGTTCATATTTAGTATACATACGTATTTTTGCGTATAGATTACAGAAAAAATTTAGCGAGCACGATTGGAGTTGATTATCATAGCGTTTTCAAGGAAAAACTAATAATTTTCGTTATATGTGACTATGTATCTATGCTCACATTACAGGAAAAATTAAGCAAAATTGGAATTTTTCCACCTGCCTTCACACTTTAACCCCCTTAAATTTTAGGTTTAAGGGTACGGAACCCTCGGTTTTAATGCGAGTATAACTCGCACTTGTCCGATTTTTTTATTTATTATCCTCAAAAATTATATGTAAAATTTTATAAATTAAATTATTTTAATAAATTAATAATTATTGATATAATATAATATAATAATAATATTATTATTATTATTATTATTATTATATTATTATATTATTATAATATACTCAAACAGAAAAATAATATTCTACTATATTTGTAAAATTTGTCTGAAAATAATAATAATTGTTTAATAATTTTTTTTAAAAACTAAAAACCCTTTTTTAATTAAGGTAATATTATTTTCATAATAATATAATTTATTGCAATTATTTTATTATAATTTAATAAATTTCATTATTTTAAAAAAGCGCGCGCTATTTTGTCTTAGGCCAATTAGGTGATTTCAACTAAATATGGGTTATGTTCGTTTCTGATTCATGACAGCTGGCAAACATTTACAACAAATAATATTTTGCAAGTGTATATTTATTTTAATTAATAAAAAATATATATTTATGTGGAACAATAATTTACAGTGATTTTCATAAAATGAATATTGATTTAGATGCTCTGGAAAGCAAAGTTCATTTTTTCTTAAATTCCATTTTTTCGACCACCGAAATATTTCGATACATTTTCATGTGTTTTGTATGTACTATCTTTTTTTTGAGAAAGGAATATCAATATTATTATTATTAATTTTTATAAACAAACTGTAATTTTTTTAAACCAAGCAAGCGAAATGTCAATACACAAAATTTTAGCACAGCTGTCTAGTTACTAGACTTATATTGTAGCGCCACCGCCATGACATAAGGATATGAATATAATTTCGAGCAGCACTTGACAGTGCTATTAAAAAAACTGAATAGCTTTGAGTCGTGGAAATATCAAGTTTAACTTGAATTATTTTCAAGAGTGTTGGTCAGCCACTGTATAGTAATTTGCAAGTTTAGCTAGAATCATCCGACACGAAAAAAACTGTCCACTAACTTGACGAATTCTAGTGCTGCCATGACAAAATTCTACTAGGGGGAAAAATGGCATTTTTATTGTAATTATTTTTTCTTCCTTAAATATTAAAATAAAAAAGTTTTATTATTATTTTCGAAAGCGTTTTTGATATTCTTTCGATTGGTAGTATGCATTTTTTTTAAATTTGTTAATAAAAAAAAATGAAATTCAAAAATAAATTTGACTTTTTCGGAGTGAAAGGTACGATTTTTTAAGTTGAGGTTTTTTTTCTATAAAAATATATACTTAATTGAAAAAGTGAGACAAGAATGTTTAAATATTGAAAAGCAAAAATGTTAATTATCAATATTTAAACATTCTTGTCTCACTTTTTCAACTATATATTTTTGTAGGAAAAAAACTCAGTATTGATTTTAAAAAAATCGTATCTTTCACACCGGAAAAGTCTTTACTTTTGAATACAAATTACTATCCACATCGAATTTTTTTTTAACTGGACTACTAAATAATGAAAAAAAGAGATTATTATCCTAACCAACTTAGAGAACATTTAAAAATGAATCAATTGACCTATTCCTTTTAATATAAAATATTACGAAGTTAAAAATCTATTTCTGTAAACGCCTAGGAATTAAAACTTAAAACCTTCTTTAAAATTATTATAAAAATAAATTTTTTTAACAATAAAATCTTTATGAGTTCACAAAAATTCATACTTCAGTCTGGCAGCTGTTTAATTATTATTATTATTATTTAAAGAAACAAATGGTATTATAATATGAAATTTTTATTTTTTACACTTGTACAAATATTTGATAACAGAGTATATTAAACTACAAATTCTACAATAAATTTCCAATAAAATTAGTCATTATAATTAAATGTAAAAAAATTAGAAATTTTTTAAATTTATCATAAAATTTAAGTACCATTATTACTCAAGATCTTCATATTCAGAATTATTTACTTCACATACAGGAGGAGGATTTGACCATTTTCCATCAGTGCAGAATGACCATCTAAATCCTTTTAACTCATAATTCTTTTTGCATCTATATTCTAATTCTACATCAGAAGTAATTTCATGAGTGGGATAAACATTTCCATTATCAAGATTAAAATGCAAAGGAGTATTACGATAACTATATTGGCAATCATTATCTGAAAAACATTAACTACTTATTATTTGAAACAACATATTTTATATCTAGAAATTGAAAAAAAATTAAGGAAATTTACAAAATTAGATTACTTTTTACAAAACTGATAAAAATATCATTATGTATAGTGTCATTATAACTATTAATTTTAATTATGTAACCCATGTGGAAAAGTGAGATGTGGCCAAGGTGTAATTTAGATATTTATGTCAATAATTTAACCAATTATTTTTTTAACTATCTGAAATTTTACGAGAAAATTAATTTTAACCTCAATTAATACTAACTTTAAAATTTGAACCCTATGGGAATCGAACCCCAGACGCATTACCTAAGAGACCTAACCTGAACGCTTTAACCCTCTGCCTACGCTGATTTATCTCCACTCTAGTGCTTTTGAATGTAATTCCCATAGTCCCCACCAGGCGTCCAAATAGACGATTTTAGACGATATCGGTCATATGAGTAGGCAGAGGGTTAACGATCGCGACTACTGAACCAAATTAAATATTTTTATTTTCTATATAAATTTCCAAATAAAGTTCTAATGGTTACTTAACTAAGTTAGAATAATTATAATGTACAATAATAATCAGTAAAATTAATATAATGTTTAAAGTTTTTGAAAATATATACACATATTAATAAACAAAATCTTAAAAAATTGAAATAATTCAATGAATAATAATGTAAAAATTAAGTTTATTTCTTAGTAATCTTCAAAATTTCCGAAATCTGGGTAACTCAGTTGTGGCCTAAGTCGGGCCAACTTAGAAACTGAGAACTTTTACACACGGGAACCTTTTTTTTTAACTATTTAAATTAATAATTTATTGCATTCTATTAAAAAAATATATAAACAAAAATCATACTAAAATATTGAAATTTTAAGTAAAATTCTTACGAATACAACGATGGTGAGGTGAATTCATCCAATATCCATTACTGCAAAAAATAACTGATTCTTCGTCATTAGAATAATTTAAATTACATTGTACAGTTGCAATGTAGCCATTTTTACTAACTGTAACTTGTCCATTTTTAATTTTTAATGGCGGACACCGTGAAGCTGAAAATTAATAAAAAAATATATGCAAAAACAGTGTTTAGTTGAATTCAAAGAATACAAACCTCTTAAATTTTGTTGTACAGAAGATGCATTGTCTATTGCTTTTAATTTGCATACAGGAGGTGGATTTGACCATTTTCCATCAAAACATGTTGACCACTTAAATCCTATTAACTCATAATTATCATTTACGCAACTATATTCTAACTTTACATCAGGCGTGAATGTAAAAGCGGGAGTAACAGTTCCATTTTGAAGATTATAATACAAAGGATCATTTAAACAATTGTTATCTAAAAAAATTAAATTCTAGTTTTGAACAAAAATTTAGAACAATAATAATATGAAATTTTAAAAGAAAAATTATCAGAAAACTCTTACGAGTACAACGAATAGAATAATGATTCTGCCATATTCCATTTCTGCAGTAAATATCTGAATATCCTTGTTTTGAATAATTTTGATTGCAATTTACTATTGCAATGTTGCTCCCTTCGTTTATTGTAACTCGTGCATTTTTCAGTTTCAATTGATTACAGTTTGGTTTACATACAGGAGGAGGATTTGTCCATTTTCCATCAACGCAGCGTGACCACGATGGTCCATTTAATTTATAATTTTTATTACATGTGTATCTTAAATATACTTCAGAATTATGATCAAATGCTACTACAACGTTACCATTTTCAATATTGTAATGTGCAGGACTATTTAAACATTTGTAATCTGAAAAAAATTGAATACTTGTTTTAAATAGTTTAGTTGATTCACTTTGAGTAAAATTTATTCATATTAATCAAATATTGAGAATAAAAAATTGGTAAAAATTCTTACGAATGCAAGATACATATATGTACATACTTGTCGCAGTAGATTCAATGAAGTATTGTTGATCTGAAATAATAAATGCGACCATAAGCAAATTAAAGATATCAAAAGTCATTTTTCGATTTCGACAACGCAAAATTTTTAAAAAATTTTTAGCAACTTTATATTGTGAATTTCAAAGAATAAAATTTCTTATTGAACTTTAAAATATAATTGATTTCTTAACTACTGGTGTACACAACGCAACCTTAATCTTGTTTAATATTCAACAATATGAATTTTTACCTTTTATAGTAACGAGAGTGTAAATAAAAAGCAAATAACTCATAATTTTCATCATTTTTTTAGGAATTAATTTGATATGTTGATTTTCATCGAACGTTATAGAAGAAAGATATCTTCATTTACATACATAAACAGTGTGAGCCGCCTATCATAAAAAATGTATTTTTTATTTATCATCTATTTTAGTATCTCACATTTTTTAATTATATTATTGTACACGTTATTTATTTAATGTGAGTTTAGTTTGATCTATTAAAAATATTTTATTAGTACTTTTATTTCTTAATCGATTTCGTAAACGATTTATTAAAAAATTTATCATTAAGATATTTATAACCCATTTTAGGCATACAATTTATATGATTAAAAATTATAGAATAATGATCTTTGTATTCATTCCTTCATTCATTCACATTTTCTTAGTACTTGAATTTTCTCATTATTATTAGATTATATATGTTACGGGCAATGTGCGGGAGGCGGGCAATGTCCGAGAATGCCCGGGCATTGTCGACAATGCCCAAAATCAGTGGGCATTGTCGACATTGCCCTGTTTTTTTCGGTCAATGTCGAAAATTATTTATAAAATTCTGTTTTCTGGGCAATGTCGACAATGCCCAGTCCATTTTGGGCAATGTTGAAATGCATAAAATTTTTTAATAAAAAATAATTTGTAATATAAGTAAATATTTCATCACTTGTTAAAACTGAATAATTGAATAATATAATCAATTTAACGCTGTTTACTAAATTCTGAAGAATTTTTATTTGTGCAGTCAATTCAATGGATTTATTTGCAATCATTTTGTGTGCCCCAAAAGGAGGACTTTTCGTCATTTTACGATATCAAACATAAGTATAGACTTCATTGTGATACTCGGCTGTAATTCTTAATTTTTAATATTTAATGTACTAAAATAATGTTTTATAGTTGTAAAGAAAATAGTTTAAATAAATTTTGTACTTAATTATCAATTAATTTTATTATTTCTACAAAAATATTAATTAAGGTGAGAAAAATTTATTTGATCAACGCTTTGTTAGTACAACAAATTATTTTGCTGTCAAAAAAACGGACAGACAATTGTGCTTACATGTCTTGTGAGGAATATGAAAGTTACATTAAAAAAGTGGACCAATTAAAGTTATGCGAAAGAAAGGATTCGAGGAGTTACAGATTTTTAAAAAAATACGACACAATTTCCGTGAACGGAAACAAGAAATTAATTAGACCTATTAACAGTGACAGTGAAAATAAATATTTCGGGCATTATTTTCTAATAACATGTTACTTATTTATAATAAAAAAACTTTTTTCAAAAACTTTAAAAACATTGCCCAAAAATTAGTGGGCAATGTCGAAAATGCCCGGGCATTGTCAACCTTTTGTAAACGTTTTTAAAAATAAGTGGGCAATGTCGACAATGCCCACTGATTTTGGGCATTGTCGACAATGCCCGGGCATTCTCGGACATTGCCCGCCTCCCGCACATTGCCCGTAACATATATACATATATATCTTTACTTTGATAATTAGGGTTCTCGAAGGTTTCTACCTGAAATTTGATTTGTCAAAACAGCTTTAAGGGTTCGTAAGATGGTCGATGACCTTTTAAATACTGTCCTGAAAGGTGAAGTTGTGTCCCCCACTTTACCAGTCCGGTTTGAACAATCACCATGTGGTTATATGTACTGGAGAATAAAAAACAAGAAGAAAATTTTTTGTGCCAGCACCATTGGGTTAAATCGATTTACAACACATCATGTAGGTTTATTGAATGGAACTAAAATTATAAAACTTTTGAATATTAACATTTATTACACAGTCCTGCGAGGGTGAGTTTCTAGAATGGCTGTACTTGTTTCATGTAGTTTTTTATGCGCTGAAAACGAATATGACCTTAAAAATGCTTCATCACGTCAGGATTTTTAGTAAATGAAGCCTAAAAGGTAAAAAAATGGCCATTTTAGCCATTTTTGATAATTTTTTTTGGGATAGAAATTTTTTTTCAATTTTCGACGAAAAAGTCGCATAGTACAACTCTTTAGCTTTAAAACCTATTTTTCAAAATTATTGTACGATTTTTTAAAAAAATGTTATGACATTTTAAAATTAACAGTTTCAGTTACGCCAATAGACGTTATACCCAACGAATCTTTAGACAGTTCTTGGGAAAAATATTTTCTAAAAAATCTTGTTTCTATCTTATTGGCTTGAAATTTGTTACTCGGGGGTTTTTGGGATCGCTGATTACGAATCTGCAGTCGCATTTTAAAAATTCAAAATGTCGGATCAAATTTGGCGGACAAATTTTACAAAAAATGATCTAATTTGCTTGAAACTCGTTATTCGGGGGATTTCGGGGTCGCTGATTACGAATGTGAAATCGGATTTTAAAAATTCAAAATGGCGTATCCAATATGGCCTGCCTTAACTGGTTCAAAAACCTCAGAGAAACGAATTTTTATTGAAATTCTTTCAAAAATGTAGGCCATTTTGTATCGCACATTTTGAATAATTAAAACTGACAATAGATTTTGTATAAGTGACCACAAAAACCCTTGAGTTACAATTTTCAAGGTATTCCGACAATTTCTAATAAAATACGTCCGCCATATTGGATCCGCCGTTTTGAGTTTTGAAAATTTGACTTTATATTCGCAAGCAGCGACCCCCAAAACCCCCGAGTAACAAATTTCAAGCGAATACAATGAATTTTTAATTTTTTCTGACATATTGGATCCGCCATTTTGAATTTTTAAAATCCGATTTCACATTCGTAATCAGCGACCCCGAAATCCTCCGAGTAACGAGTTTCAAGCAAATTAGATCATTTTTTGTAAAATTCGTCCGCCTTATTGGATCCGCCATTTTCAATTTTTAAAATCCGACTTCAGATTCGTAATCAGCGACCCGAAAACCCCCGAGTAACGAGTTTCAAGGAAATCTGATCATTTTTTGTAAAATTTGTCCGACATATTTGATCCGATATTTAAAATTTTTAAAATCCGACTTCAGATTCGTAATCAGCGACCCCAAAAACCCCCGAGTAACAAATTTCAAGCCAATAAGATAGAAACAAGATTTTTTAGAAAATATTTTTCCCAAGAACTGTCTAAAGATTCGATGGGTATAGAGCAATTCCATGGGATGTGATCACAAGAATTTTTGACCGGAAAAAAGTCAAAAAAAATTTTGAATTTATTTTTGGAAAAAACTACCTCTTCGATTTAAAAAATTTGTTTTCTGTTTAATGCCTATGATGTTAAAAATAACTTCTCTAATTTTCATAATGGTACAGAAAGAACTTTGCGAGAAAAAAAATTAAAACGTCCCGTGCGGCGCGACGGGTCGCACGCATCCCAGTTTTCACGTCCATTATATAGTATGGAAACTGGAAAATATCTCGAAAAGTACGAATTTTCGTAAAAAATGTTTAAGACAAAAGTTGTTCCAAACAAAAAAATCTACAATGTTACAACAATGTTGGGCCATACAATGGAAAAAGTGGTTTTCTCAAATAAGACCACTTATTTTCAGTATCAAATTCGTAATCCTTATGAAATTCTGCGTTCAGACATATTGTATAAGTGCCCAAAATATTGGTCGCAATGTCTGAGATTGGGTCCAACATTTTTTGAGAAACACATAAATAAATTTTTAAAAATCTTATCTTTGGGGTTTTTGGGGTCACAGAATTAGAAATTCGAAGCTAATTTTGTAATTGGACACACAGCCCAATGTGAGGCCCACAGTAAAGAAATTAGTTTTCTTAAATAAAACCCACTAATTTCCAGTATTCATTTCGTAATCGTTATGAAATTCTTGGTTAAGACTTATAGTACAAATGCCAAAAATATTAGGCCAAATGTCTGGGATTGGGCCCAATATTTTTGGAATTTCATAACGATTACGAAATGGATGGAAACTAATTTTTTTACAGTAGGTCTCAGATTGGGCCCCCAAAGATAAGATTTTTTAAAATTTATTTATTTGTTTGTCAAAAAATGTTGGACCCAATCTCAGACATTGGGACCAATATTTTGGGCACTTATACAACATGTCTGAACGCAGAATTTCATAGGGATTACGAACTTGATACTGAAAATTAATGGTCTTATTTAAGAAAACCACTTTTTTCATTGTATGGCCCAACATTGGCCCAATTTTTTGGTCTCAAATATGTAGATCTTTTTGTTTGGAACAACATTTGTCTTAAACTTTTTTTACGAAAATTCGTACTTTTCGAGATATCTGAAAGTTTTCATACTATATAAAGGACGTGAAAACTAAGATGCGCGCGTCCCGTCGCGCTGCACGTAATATTTAATTTTTTTCTCGCAAAGTTCTTGCTGTCCCATTATGAAAATTAGAGAAGTTATTCTTAACATCATAGGAATTAAGCAGAAAAAAATTTTTTGAATCGAAGAGGTAGTATTTTTAAAAAATGAATTCAAAATGTTTTTTTTACTTTTTTCCGGGCCAAAATTTTTATTTTTCATGAACTATTTTTTTCTTAAAATAGCATCTTTTTGTGAGCAATTTAAGAAAAATTGATCTCATTTGGATAACAGGAAAAAAAGTTACATGGTTTTTTTAAAAAAATGACATAAATTTTTAATTAGATATATTTAAAAAATTTTTTAAAAATTGTTTGTGGGCTTTCATTCTGTACAAATAAAAGAACATATTCACAACGTTTCAATAAAATTGCTCCAATCCTCAAAAATTCTTGTGATCACATCCCATGGAATTGCTCTGTAACGTCTATTGGCGTAACTGAAACTGTAAATTTCAAAATGTCATATTTTTTTTTAAAAAATCGTACAATAATTTTGAAAAATAGGTTTTAAAGCTAAAGAGTTGTACTATGCGACTTTTTCGTCGAAAATTGAAAAAAAAATTTCTATCCCAAAAAAAATTATCAAAAATGGCTAAAATGGCCAATTTTTTACCTTTTAGGCTACATTTACTAAAAATCCTGACGTGATGGGGCATTTTGAAGGTCAGATTCGTTTTTAGCAAATAAAAAACTACAAGAAACAAGTACACCCATTCTAGAAACTGAAAAAAGTTAAATTTTGCAGGCCTGTGTTATTATTGGAGCAATATATGCTCGTAATCGTGAACTTCTGAGGAAAACGAATATATCAAAATAAATTAAACAATGTTTATATTTAAAAATTTTATAATTTTTTTGAAAAACTCATTAAGCGTCATAAAATAATATTGTCATCAAGCCCGAGAACGCCACACAGGCCCACCGCTGTAATTGACTAACTCGAGGTCTGAGCCCGGGACGGGCCGATAGAGTGAAGATATACCACTTCCCTTTACAGGACCCAATCCGTGATCGCTCGATTCGTCCAAACAGCCTTGGGTTGAGGGAAAATTTTTTTATTATTGTATATGTGATATAGATGATAACCGTTTAATTCTCGTGAGTGGAAGTGGTGTATCCATACTGAACTTACTAAAACCTATCCCCGAGGATGCCACTCAGGCCTACCGTAATATCTGCCTCACGCGAGAACTTAACATAGGCCCGGGTTAGAAGAATGGGAGTATAACACTTCTCTTCAATGGAGTGAAACGGCTACTGCTGATGTATGATAAACATAGAGCAACCGTCTACCGTTGCAACAACATTGTAGTAGTGTCGCTAAAAAAAGCTCCTAATAGTCTCAGGTAACTTAACTTGATTATTATATAGTTTATATTATTTTTCTGCAATTTGTCGATCAATAACTTACTGCATGTGTTGAATTTTCTTATATTATATTTGTCTTTTTCATTTTTGTATTGGGCCCAAAAAATAAATTCCTATTGTTGTATAGTATTAATAAATATATATGTATTTTGAGGATAAAACATTGATTATTAAATAATTTTTTATGCATAAAATATGGATATTCAGGGTGTCCAGCGGTTCTTGAAAAAAGAATTCAAGGACTTTTCAAGGTTTTCAAGGCCCAATATAATTTTTTTCAAGGTGCACTTTTAACATAATAACTTTGAAAATATTTTACTATTTATGACTCTCTAAATTTTAATTAGTAAAGTGTCATGTAACAATTCAAATTAGACAAAATTGTACTAATTTTTAATTATTCTGTAATGAAACTTTGGTACAAAAAATAAAAACTACCAACGACATATTGCACATGACACTAATACCTGCATATCAACAACCGATTCCTATAAAAAATCGATTCTTTAAAATCGATTCTAGAAATCGATTCTATGATTCAGAAAATCGAGAAGAATGTTTTTTTTCAAAAAGTTTATTATGTTTTGCGCTTTTTTCTAGTCATGGTTAGACCAAATGTATTTGAGACTAGAAAATTAAGCTATTATTTTAGAAAATATAAAAAATTCAAGGTTTTGCTATAAAATTCAAGTACAACAAAAATATTGATTGTTTGATAATAGTGGAAGCTGGCTTTTGGAAAAATTTTTTGGTATTGGATAATTTTGGCATTAAAGATATTTTGATTTTAAGGATAAAAAATGATATTGCAGAACATTAGTATTGAATATATTTTGATATTGGAAAAAAATATTGATTTTTTGACCACAGTAAAAGTTGGTTTTTGGAAAAATTTTTTGGTATTGGATAAAATTGGCATTAAAGATATTTGGATTTTGATGATAATAAAATATGATATTGGATAACATTCGTATTGAATATATTTCGATATTGAAAAAAAAATTTGGACTGTTTGATAATAGAGGATGCTGGCTTTTGGAAAAGTATTTAAATAGAGAAAAAGAGATTTGAATATTGTTTTAAGGGTTGAAGTTGTTTTATGGGTTAAATAATAGTTTGTGAGTTGAATATTGATTTGAATATTAATAAAAAGTGCAGAGGAAAATAAGTTAAATAATAATCATTATCGAAAATAATATAATATGGAAAAAGATTAAACAACGCTAATTCACGTTCATGTAAGACTATCATTGTTGCATTAGTTAGCTGAATTATAGTTAATGAAATTTTTTATAGGTGAAACACATGTAAGTAAATTTTTTAAAGCAATAAACTAAAATAAACGATATGTTTTGAAAATTGGCTTTATCAACAGTTTGAAAGTAGAAGAAGGATACCATGTCGAACATAGAAGAGTATTTTATTTTGAGTAATGAAGATTTTACAATTATTGAAAATGTAAATGAAATGTTAAATGATATGCATATGTATAAAATTCAAGAATTATCAAAAAATGATTCAAATTCTTTTTTCATTATGCAAAGTACTTTGTATTTACAAATGCTTGATTTAATTGTTCCAATTAGAGAAAGAGATAAACATATTCAAATAGTTTTTAGCGGTAATAACAATTCTGGTCATTGGATTTGTGTTTATTACGATGAAGTAAGACTTTATATTTTTGATAACCTTAATGCAGGGTGTTCGAATATTCTTCAAATAGAATATTTAATTAGATTGTTCCCTTTTACACCAACAGAATTTTTTGTAGATGTTGATCAACAACCGGTTGGTACAGTTAAGTGTGAAGTATAATGCAATAGCATTTGCAACATCTGTATTGGTTAACAGTGTAAATTAAAAGATTAATTTATGGAACTGATAATAATGTAATGAGCAAGCATTTGTATCATTTTTTGAAAACAATTAATTAAATCATTTTCCGGCAGTTAGAATGTCTAATATTAGGATTTCGATTTGTAGAGAATGAATCGAATTGTCTTTTCATAAATCGAGCTAAAGAACTTCAAAATGGTGAGCTAAACCTTTCATATTTTGTAAAGACTTTTCCCAGTAAAAATGACAACAGAGTTCTGTCTACTGAAACTAAGAATGAAAAGAAAATACCCAAAGAAAAAAATTTGTCCTGTAAGATGAAGAAATTATCTACAAAAATTGAAGAGGGATTTACATGTTGATGTAAATTCAGTAAGCACAACAGAAAATAATAAGAAAATAATTTCTAGTCTTATTGTTAGGGAAAATTTTAATCCCATGACATATCCTACATTGTTTCCTTTTGGTGATCCTGGATGGACTGTTAACCGTAAGCATACATACCTTAAGCGTACTTGTAAAATAATATTATTATTTTTGTGAGATCAAAAGTCCAATAAGTGTCCGTCAAATAAAAATAAATTTTTAATTTTTCTTAAAAAATCGCAGATATCGCGCGCGTTTACGCGCGTTTCTTTTAGCTAGTAATGAATATAAAATATTTAAATTTATCGATAAACATTATTAATTCTATCAATAGATATAATATTTGAGTATAAAATTTTTAAAAATATTCGAACCAAATTATTAATTATATACTTCATAAAATTATGCGCAATATTTTTTAACTTAATATTTTCAATTCGAATAGTAAGATTATATAATAAAAATAGTTTCGAATTAATATTTGACAGAATTTTTTAATTTCGAAAGAACATTTTTTATAATTTTCAATTTACCGAATAATCATTTCTCATAATTATTATTGTAGCGAATTAGTATTTTTCATAATTTTTATTTTTTCTAATAAAAGTTTATACTATTTTTGATTTTAAATAATTACCATTTCTTATATTTTTTTCTTCAAATTACCATTTTGTATAATAAATATTTTTTCGAACAATTATTTGTTCTAAAATGTAATTTATCAAATTTATATTTTTTCTATTTTTAAAAGTAACGATTTTCTTATTTTGTATAATTTTCATTTTACCGAATTGCCATTTTACATAATTTCTAATTAATAATAATAAATAATACATAATTTTCTAATTAATATTTTTCCGAATTTCAATTTTAACGAATTTATTAATATTAGAATTATTTCTTTTGCGAATAGCCATTTAACATAATTTTAATTTCCCCTAATATTTATTTCTTCTAATCTCTATTTTCTCGAATCGTTATATGCCATATTTATCGTTTGCCGATGCTGTTAAATCACCTTCCGCTCAAACAAGCTTAGGAAATAGCGTCTTTCTACCTACAAATGGAGAAATGTCCCTAACTGAACTGTTTACAAAGTTCAACTCTATGTATATACAAATGCAGGAAGTAGCAACTCAACTCAGTAAAATTTTCCAAGGAAACCAACTAAACGTTTCAAAATGCAACTAAAACCTCAAGATGATCTCAAAATTTGTTATTGGAATAGGGTGTTTCCAATAAAAAACATGAACTCACGAATTTTCTAAATGTAGAAAACATAGATGTAATGCTGCTTGGAGAAACCTGGCTAAAAAATGGATCAAATTTAAATGTTCCTAATTACATCACCTACTGGACCGACCGTAAAGTGATACCGCATGGCGGAACTGCAATTCTAATTAAAAGACACATTTCTCACAACCAACTACAATCTCAGGATCTCCAAATTGAAAATACAATTGTAGAAGTTCATAGGACCTTTGGACCACTTCGTCTCATCTCTGCCTATTGTCCACCAAAAAAGAAAATTATTGAAGCAGACTTAAATGCTCTTTTTAATTATAATGGCGAAACTCTGCTTATGGGAGACCTGAACGCTAAACACAGTCACTGGAACTGCCATTCAACCAACTTTTCTGGAAAAGCACTGTTAAAGTACTTTTTTGATTACGACATTCTTCTCTAAAAATATTCTAAGTAGAATAGATATCTAAGTTGTTCAAGACCTAAGCTCTGATCATAATCCAATTAAAACAACACTCACAGGGAATCTTCAAATAAAATTTTTAGTCACGAAAGAAATCACGCAATGGGCACGCTATACCCAACCCAACCTAACTGACTGAGTTAGACGTCTATTTTACTCGTCTGCAAATTTTCGCAATTATTGAGTTTATAAGTGTCTTATTACTCTGTGTGTTGGTCTGCTTTATGAAATTGCAGTAGTGAGTGACTTAAAAATTAATTTGGCACATTTTTTTTAACGCAAATTGTGTTATTGTTGTCTCTTTTCTAATTTTGGGAGTCTGAACACGTGTTTAAACATGCCGGAGTGTTTGGAATGTAACGAACAAGTGTCCAGAAAAACTGATAAATCATGTGAATGTGCAAAGTGTAATGGAATAGTTCACTTAGCTTGTGCTAATGTTAACATCACAAGAGAGGAGTTTAATAGTTTAAAAAAAGGTGTTTATAAATTTATTTGCACAAAATGCAGAGACAACGCCACCTCTCAAAGTAATTCAACACCCGCTAATAATGACCTTGCTTCTGTGATTCGATCGATACCTGAAAACATTACTCAGAGTGATTTCTTTGCTGCGCTTGAGGTTGCCATCGAACAGGGGCAGAGAAACGTTCTCCAAGAATATCACAGCAAGATGGTCAATTCGATGAAAGAATTTCAAGATGAACAAAAAAAGTTTAATACAGAGCTAAGTACATCAATTGACAACATGAAATCGGAGATTGCTGACCACTCTAAAAGAATTGACATACTTGAATTCGACTCTGGCGTCTGTACGGAAGACCTTAAAAATGTCAAAGTGGACAACGAGGCTATACATAATCGCATGGTCGAATTAGAGCGATCATTAAATTTTCATGAACAGTCTTCTTTAATGTCATCGATGGACATCCGTGGACTACCTGTCAAACCCGATGAAGACTTAAAAAACACTTTTTGCCGCATTGCTGCAAGTCTAAATGTTGAAATGACGCAGGAAAATATTGTTAATATATACCGCGTTAAAAACTCTGAGAACATTAATCCTCAATCATCACAGTCACTAATCAGAGCAAAACTGTCACGACAAGACATCAGAGACAAAATACTCAACCAACGTAAAACTTTCAAAAATTTCACGACGATGTATCTTGGATGGCCAGAAGCGGAAAGAGCTAATATTTACCTACAAGAGACCCTCACGCCCTTCAATCGCCGTATACATGCTGCTGCTCTTACAGCTCGGAAGTCTAACATCATTAAATATCTCTGGATTGCAGGAGGAAAAATTTTCTGTCGGAAAGAAGATGGAAGTCGCAGGATCTTACTCTCGTGTCTACAAGATGTCCATTCACTTAAATAGCAACTACTATTTGCAAGTATTGGTTGTCTTTGTTTTGTAAAACATCATTTTTCAAAAACTATTCAATTAAATTTCAGAATTTATTTTAAAATTTATATGCAGTTCTACCTTTTAGAAATTAATAACAAACATGTTATAAAATATTTTTCCGTTCTTTTACGCTCAAAAAATTTTACTCAGAATTTACAACTTATCTCATATGGCTTTTGTGTACACTTCAATTTAAAATACAACTATTTGACTGTAATTATAATCTTTAATCTAATATGGAAACATTAAATATATGCCATGTAAATGCTCAATCTTTGAGATCTCATTTCATTGAATTTCAGGACTTTTTTGATATTGGTCATTATCATGTTATTGCTGTCTCGGAAACTTGGTTAAACTCAAATGATACATCCAATTGTGTAAATCTCAAAAACTATAATATTATTCGAAATGATAGAACAACACGCAGAGGTGGGGGAGTATGTTTTTATATCCTTAAGGGTCTTGAATTTTCTGTGGTGGCTGGGAGCTCTGAGGCGTCACATCCATGTGCTGAATTTTTGTTTCTCAAGTTATATACAGAGACTGATAACGCACTGTTGGGAGTTGTTTATAAACCACCAAATGCTTCATTTGGCATCGAATTAGAAAATCAAATTTCATCTCTGATACAATTCTTCAACAGTGCTGTCATCATGGGTGATTTTAATTGTAATTTGAATTGTTCATCTTCTATCACTGATTATTTAACATCAATGTTTTTTTCACTAGGCATGTCTGTGGTGCCTCATGGTTCTACTCACCACTTGGCTAATTCGAGTACCAGAATTGATGCCATTTTTGTGAGTGATTTAGATAGAGTCTCTTCTTATGGGCAACACGCAGTGTCATTTTTATCCAGTCACGATTTGATAAATATTGAATTTGAACTGAGAGGAATTCAGACTCAAGTAACTAGACAAACTAATATTACTCGTAACTTAAGTAAAATTTCTGAAACTGAATTCCTCTCGCATCTGGCAAGTTTTGACTGGGCATCAATATTTGTTGAACCTGATATTAATATTAAAGTATATAAGCTAACGTCTTATTTAACTTCTGCGTTCGATCTTTTTGCACCAGTATATTTACCATCTACTAAAAAAAGATTCTCACCTTGGATGACGAACGAAATAAGGGAACTTATTAATGAAAGAAATAAACTCAGAAGAATATTTAAAAGAAATAAAAATCCAATTGCTTTTATAAAATTTAAGAAAGCTCGTAATCTTGTCAAAACCAAAATCAGAGACGCGCATAATAAATATAATTATAACATAATTAAAAATAAAAGTAAATCTGGCGATATATGGCAAATCTTGAGAAAGCTTAACCTTATACCTGACAAGAAAAGATCACCTAATAATAATTTTCAAGCACAAGAATTTGTGGAAGTTTTTTCTAATACTCCTTTACCTATTCCCCTATCTGCCTCTGGACTCTTATTACCTAATGTCAATGTTTTTGATGAAAATAAATTTTTCTTTAACGATATATCGCCGGATATTTTACTTAAAAGCATACATCGTATTAAATCGAATGCTACTGGTCCTGATTTCATATCCATAAAGATGATAAAGCTCGCACTTCCAGTTATCTTTCCAGTTTTAATTCATATTTATAACTATTCCCTCCAGAAATGTATTTATCCTGATATATGGAAAATGAGTTTGGTACGTCCCATTCCGAAAACATCTAATCCTAAAAATCCATCAGATTTTAGACCAATTTCTGTTGTGTGTGCATTATCTAAACCTCTCGAACAAATTGCTTGCGGTCAGATGACATCGTTTTTATCAAACAACAATTTATTAGAACCTTTACAGTCCGGCTTCAGAACTAAACACAGTACTGCTACTGCTGCATTAAAATTCACAACCGATATTAAACTTGCTATGGACAATAAACTTATCATAATTGCAATATTTTTTGATTTTTCAAAGGCTTTTCCATCAGTAAATCATAAATTATTAATAAATAAACTTTCTTCTTTTAATATATCCAAATCGGTCTGTGATTGGTTTGAGTCTTACTTGAGCTATAGGTTTCAAAGAGTAGTTGATGGCAGAGGTGGCGGTTCTGATTGGGGTAGACTTAAGTGTGGTGTTCCCCAGGGTGCTTCACTTTCCTCCATTTTGTTTAATCTATTTATTACAGACCTTGGGGAGCAGCTCACTTATTGTAAATATCATAAGTATGCTGATGATTTTAAAATATACCTTTCCGGACCTCTGGCTTCTCTGCCTGATTTATTAAAAAATATGCAGGTTGATATTGACTATGTTGAAAATTGGGCTAGGAATAATGGACTTGCTCTTAACTCTGGTAAGACTCAGGCTATAGTGTTCTCCACAACGAATAACCCATCTAAAGAATTGTTGGCAACTCTTCCCCCTTTAATAGTAGGAGGTGTTCCCATCGAATTTAGTGACACAGTTAAGGATCTTGGTCTGAATCTAGACAGATCCTTGTCTTGGAGGGAACATATTTTTGGAATTTCGAGAAAAACCTATATTGTACTGCAACAATTGAACAGAAATAGAGACGCAATTCCCACCTCAACTCGAGCACTTCTAGTTAAATCATTAATACTGCCCATCTATGATTATTGTTGTACTGTTTATGATGACATAACTAATGAGTTAAATTGTAAGCTTGAAAGGTCTCTAAATGCGTGTATTCGATTCATTTATAATCTTCCCAAAGTAGAGCACATCACACCTTATAGGATTGAGACTCGATTACTGAATGTCGCAAGTAGGAGGCAATACTTCCTTGGAAGTATATTGTACTTAATTTTCAATAGTAAAATTCCAACTTATTTCTACGATTTTTTTGATTTTAAAGATCAGAATGAAGGTGCACATAGTAGATTACGAGAAAGAAATAATGTATTAAATATTCCATTTCATCGTACCTGCAAAATGCAAAGATCTTTTATTATCAGAGGTGCCAGATTATGGAATAAATTACCGATTGAGATAAGAGAATCATCAAGCCATTTTGTATTTAAAAAGTTATTTTTTAATTTTCTATTCAGTAGCGAAAATCAACTGTTTAATATAACATACTGGTAGAACTTTTACTTTTATTTTTGCTTTTTCTATTTTCGATGTTTAATCATTTATTTTTGTCATTGACAACTTGAGCAGACTGCATTTAATAAAATCTTTAACTATTGTTATACATCATAGTATATACACATATTAAGTTTATATTCTTTCGAATAAAAGTTAAGTTTTGCATTTATTTCTATATAAATATATATTTTTATTTTTATTTTTACTCGTATATACATTATAAAATTTGATGTAATAGGCTGACATAATGCAATTTATGATAAATAATCGAACGATCTTCTTTTGCAATTTATGCACAAAATATCTGCGATATTTGTAAGAATAAGCTATGCTCAGTATTATATCTAAGTATTATATGTGATATCTTTTTATAGTTTTAAGAGTAATATTATTATAACAATTTCGATGCTACCATGTATATTGTTCCTCAGTGAGCTCATTAGCTCTAGGAACTTTACTAAATAAATAAATAAAAATAAATAAAAATAAAATAATATGTCAAACATAAATCCGCTTACAACAACAGATGACATCGACAAAGAGATAACCACTCTTACTCAGGAAAATAAATCCGCACACGTTGCCAGCACTAAAGTAATTTCAGCACGCACCACCAACGTAATTGTTCTACCATCTGAGTTGAGAGACCTCATTAGACAAAAAAGAAAAGCTCGTAAAAAAGGACAACGAACTTGCCACCCTGAAGACTGTGCAGCAGCCACTAGATTAAATAATAATCTGCGTTCTAAACTGCAGGAATTTCACTCTACCAGATGGAATACAAAAGTTAAATCACTTAATGAGGATCGCGCAGGTCTCTAGAAAATGATCAAGTCTCTCAAAACCAAACGAGATTTAATTCCCCCCCTGCAAGGAGCTCAAGGCATTGGTTACACCAATACTGACAAGGCAAATATCCTTGCTTTAAGTATTGAAAATCAGTGTACATTAAATGAAAGATTGACCCAAAATGAAGAAACCGCCAGACTAGATGTTGAAATCATGAAGTCCACTAAACAAATTGATGACACCCCTCCTGATCCAATTGAGACATCCACCATCCAGGAACTGGAATCAATCATCAGGAAATTAAAAAATAAAAATGTTCCAGGTCATGATGCTATCACGAATTTACAAGTAAAACATTTACCTCGTAAAGGCAATGTGAAACTGCTCAACATTTATAATGTCAGCCGGCGACTAAACTATTTTCCCTCTGTGTGGAAAACAGCTCACATCATATGCATCCCGAAACCAGACAAAGATCACCGTCGACCTGAAAATCATCGTCCAATCAGTCTTCTACCAGTTTTCTCCAAGATCTTTGAACGTTTAATACTTTTAAGGTTGATGCAGCAAGTTAAGAATTTAAACTTGATTCCCTCGGAACAATTCGGTTTCCGTGAGAAACATTCAACAATTCAACAAACCCTCCGACTAGTTGAAACTATACATGACGGCTTCTCGCATAAAGATTCCACTGCTATCGCATACTTGGATGTTGTCAAGGCTTTTGACAAGGTCTGGCACGATGGACTTCTCTATAAGCTCGTCACAGCAGGAATTTCTGTAAATGTGATAAAAATCATCCGCTCTTTTCTTAAAGACAGAAATTTCAACGTGAAAATTGAAGACATCTTATCTTCAAATAAACCCTTACAATCGGGAGTTCCTCAAGGGTCAGTCCTTGGACCAATATTATACAACTTGTATACTTATGACATACCAAAAAACGGCTACTCACAAAAAGCACTATTTGCAGATGACACTGCCATGATTGGACAATGTCGCTGCCCAAAGCTAACTATCAGGAGACTGCAATATTCTCTTAATGAAGTGATTAACTGGATGGATAAATGGAAAATAGCCATCAATAAAGACAAAACTCAG